GCTCTGTGGCATGTGGGATCTTCCTGGACCAGGGCTCGAACCCGTGTCCCCTGCATTGGCAGGAGGATTCTTCCCCACTGCGCCACCAGGAAGTCTGACTGATCATCTATTTTATATATTTTGTATCTGTTAATCTCAAACTCCCAATGTATCCACCCCCCACCCTTTTCCTCTTTGGTAACCACAGTTTGTCTTCTATGTCTGTGAGTCTGTTTTGTAAATAAGTTCATTTGTATTGGTTTCTTAGATCCCACATATAAGGGATATCCTGTGATATTTGTCTTTCTCTGTCTTACTTCACTTTGTATGATAATCTCTAGGTCCATCTATGTACAGTGTTTAAGATAATAAAACCAAAGCGAAACAAGACGATGGCCACACGTGTTGAGATGGTCGATGGCCACACGTGTTGAGATGGTCGATGGCCACACGTGTTGAGATGGTCGATGGCCACACGTGTTGAGATGGTCGATGGCCACATGTGTTGAGATGGTCGTTTTCTCGAGGAGGGAGGTGCTTTGTGGCTGGGAGGCTGGTCTGGGCGTTGGCCGGTGCAGCTACTTCTTGACTGGGCAGGACCTACTGGGGGTTCACCTCGTAACAGTTCTCTAAGTATTGCGCGGTAGGCATCACGCAGCTCATTAAAAATATGACAATCATGGAGCCGGCTAAGAGATACAACACAGATGTGATTGGGACTCTCCCAAGAAAACTTAAATAGAACAAATTAAATATTTGTTTTCATTCATCCTTAACTCCTAGAATAAATCCCACTTAACTGTGGCATATTTAATATGCTGCTAGATTCTGTTTGCCCATATTTAGGACTTTTGCATCCATATTCAGAACTGAGACTCCCCTGTAGTTTTGTGTGTGTGTGTCCCATTTCTTGGAGATTTTATCAGTACCGTACTCATTTCATATGAAGAATTTGGAAGCTATACGCAGTAACAATTTGGGTCAATGAGACGCCAGGTGCTGGGTGTCCTGGGGGAAGGTGTCCTTGCTCTGGAACGTGAACCCTGGAGAAGCTGAGGCGATGCAAACCCCTACGGGGTGGGGCAGGCAGAGAACTAGAGCTGGAGCGCTGCGGGGACTTGCACACGGCTCCTCACGGCTACAGACCCCAGTTGGATTCTCTGCTTATCCTGAAAAAGCCCATCTTTGCTGGAGAAATAACTGGCAGTCTATGTGTTTTGGGTCAACACAGCCAATACATCCTTTATTTTTGTTGATGGAACTAGCTCACCGTATCTGCTGTTACTTGCACTGGGACAACGTGCTCAATTTACCTGATTTCTAGAGCTGTCCCCTCCTATCTCTCAAAAGGTTATGCAGATCAACTGGAATAAAAAGCCTGACCCAACAAGGTGCCTTCTCTTCCTGCTTTGTTCCATGCTGCCTGTGTCTGGATTGACAGGGACAGGAATTCAGCCTCCAGGGCTAGTTCCTGTTGCCACTTCCAAAGCCCTCTGAGAACCTAATCCCCGCGCCCCTAGACAGACCCCAGCCCTCTTCCCAAGTTGCTCGGCTGGACCCAAGAGTTCTCGGAGCACCTGGTCTTCTGAAGCGCCTCTTCCAGTTGAGCATCCTTTTCTCAAGTGTAGAGCTTTGCCTATTCTTGCCCTGAAATGCCAGCCGAAAATGCTAAGTGCCAACAAGCCATTTATTCCACCTTGCTCACTTTTGGCTGGTGCACAAGCGTGTGTGCAAACACACACAAACACGTCACAGCACCCTGATGGACGTGCTGCTACACCCCAACCCTAGGAGATACAAAAGGAAAGGCAAGGCACCATGGCTGATGGAGCCAAGCTTATTCCGGGCTGTGCTTTCCTGAGGTGGCAGCATGGAAAAGTCCTTACGTTTCAGGGATGCAAACATCTTACGTACACAAGCTTTAACTATCTGGGGCTTCACCACAATTTCTCTACTTTTGAATATGTTTAAAAAACTGAAATGCTCTTTCAGCAAATGATGGGTGAAATTTGATGAGAGCAATTAAAAAAGTCCCACTTAGCAAACCAGAAGTTGAGAATCTTATATTGACCACAATCCTATGTTGTTTCTTTGGAAAATTCTAAATGGTCTGAGAACCCCCAAGACTGGGAACCACTGGACTAAACAAAGCCAACCTCACTAGGGCCAGCCACGCTGAGTTCCGTGTGACACTCTGACTGCCAAGACCCCAGCCTGACTTTCCATTACAAAGGCTCTAGAAGCACATTTATAATACCAGTGTTTTGAATAGACTTTTTTTTTTTTTTTTTTGCGGTACGTGGGCCTCTCACTGTTGTGGCCTTCCCTGCTGCGGAGCACAGGCTCTGGACGCGCAGGCCCAGCGGCCATGGCTCACGGGCCCAGCCGCTCCGCGGCACGTGGGATCTTCCTGGACCGGGGCACGAACCCACGTCCCCTGCATCGGCAGACGGACTCCCAACCACTGCGCCACCAGGGAAGCCCCTGAATAGACTTTTAAAAAAGAAAAATCATTTGCTGCTTCATCCCCTTTTGGTAAATAAGGACTCCTGAACCGAGAAGGGAAAAAGTGATACTGCAGTGACCACACCAGCAACCCTTTCTCCAATATTAGCTTGTTCAAAGGAAGTGAATTTTCTCCAATCGATAGTGGTGGTGACCTCAAACACCAATGTTTGAAGTATTTAAAATGATTTTCAACTATTATATATATACACATGCATAGGGTAAGCTTGCTATACGTGTGTCAAAACAGCAAGCAAAAAAACAAAGGCTGTAAAAGTTAATTGAAGTAATTCAACACAACTGTTGAATTAAATGTGTTGATACCGTATTTAAGTTTGTTTCAGCAGCTGTTCTCTATTTGGTTTCAGTCTTAATATACATCGTGTAATATTCAGGACAAGAAACTTTTCCAGTAATATTTGGGCCCATCCTCATTACAAATCAATTATTTCAAGTGGCTTTTTTAAAAAAAAAAAATTTATTTATTTATTTACTTATTTTTGGCTGCATTGGGTCTTTGTTGCTGCGCGCAGGCTTTCTCTAGTTGTGGCGAGTGGGGGCTACTCTTTGTTGTGGTGCGCGGGCTTCTCGTTGTGGTGGCTTCTCTTGTTGCGGAGCACAGGCTCTAGGCACGCGGGCTCAGTAGTTGTGGCTCGTGGGCTCTAGAGCGCAGGCTCAGTAGTTGTGGTGCAAGGGCTTAGCTGCGCTGCAGCATGTGGGATCTTCCCGGACCACGGCTCGAACCCATGTCCCCTGCACTGGAAGGCGGAGTCTGAACCGCTGCACCGCCAGGGAAGCTCCCCACCATTTTTATAAAATAAAAATCCCCTTGGACCTGGCTGCTACCACCTTTACTTGGGCTTATCTACTGAGCTGCTCCTTGCTGACGTGGGTAGGTCCAAGCATGCCCAAACCAGTGGCAACACGGGGCAGCTTCAGGCCCAAACTGCCCTCAACGGCCTTTCACTCCAGACCTGCATTAGGGTGTGGAGGGCGGGGCAGCAGGGTTCCTTTCCCTTTACTTTGTAAGCTCCTCTTTCTGACTTTGGTGACAAAGTTTTCAAGACACTTAAAAAAAAAAAGTCTACCTATTTTTGGCTGCAATGGGTCTTAGTTGCCGCACGCGGGATCTTTCACTGCAGCGTGTGGGTTCTGTAGTTGTGGCACACGGGCTCTCTCGTTGAGGCACGCGAGCTCAGTAGTTGTGGCACGCGGGCTTAGTTGCCCCGTGGCATGTGAGATCTTAGTTCCCCGAGCAGGGCTCGAACCTGAGTCCCCTGCGTTGGAAGGTGGATTCTTAACCACTGGACCACCAGGGATCTTCATTTACTTTTGAAACTAGAGACTTTCACAGGAAAAGGTGACTCTAATCAAAGTTAAGAAATACAAATTAAAAATTGTCACGTTGCCTCCTTCAGATGCAGTGGAAATGACTCAGTAATTTCTACAACTCTGACGAAACTTAGATAGAAAATCTGAAGTACTGGTACAGACTCTTTTGCGAGTATGAAAACTGATTTAAAGATAACTTCCTAGACCACCGACTCAAAGTGCCACTTTATCCAAAATCATCTGCCTACTACTGCAAAAAAACAAAAAAAACCCAGAATTTCAACACTGCAAACCTGAACAAAACTAACGTAATCACTAAATCACTTTTTATAATTTATCAGATAAAAGCTGACTTCCATGAAACAAACTGGTCAGGGAAGTAATGTGTCTCCCTGCACTCAGCAGGCACACCTCTCAGGAATGGGTAAGAGGGTCGGACGCCTGCGGGCAACTGTGCTTGGGGCTGTCTTGAGGAAACACGGGGATGCCACGCAGTGCCGTGTGCTGGTCACCTGGAAGCGTGTTTCGGTTTGCCTTTGGGTAAGACATTCTCTTAAGAGGATCTCTGTGCTCTCAGCCGAGGCGCAGCCACGGCAGGATCCGGGACACGACTCCACGGCTGCCCTGAGTCACACTGCCCTGCGTTGCCACGACGAAGATGGTTTGGGAAGGTGACACCAGACAGGAGGGTTCTGCCGAGGCAGATGTGATCACAGGGCTTGTGCTCCTGTCCCTTAGTGGTTTACGACGCAGCCATCAGTCGGTGAAACAGAAACGCGAGTGCCTGAGCGCATCCCCGTGTTATATGCCACCCGTGCCTCAGGACACAAGGCAGCCCTTGGGGCAGAACTAGAAGCTCACGGATAAGAACCCAACACTGCAGGCTCCACGGACTGCGCTTGGTCGAGATCAAGTTTCCTGCAGACGCCAGCGCAGTCTGCAGGGCTTCCACTCCAGTCTGCTGACAGCTTCGGGAGAGAAACACTGGATTACCTGTTAACGTGCCGATCGCAGGAAACAGGCCTTTTTCGCACATGAGTTTTCCCTTAACCGGTAGGTGTGTTATTTATACGCGAAGTGCCTGATGTAATACCTTCACCTCAAGGGCTGATGATGTATGCACAGGTCTGTAAAGGAAGAGACTGGAAACAAAGACTTGGCACAAGAAATCAGTCACACAGGAATTCTGTATCACTACAAATTTTATTCAGAAACCCATCTTTGTTTTTTTTGTTGTTTTTTTTAAAAAAACTCCCATTATGAACTGGCTCGGTCAACCAACGACGGACGACGCTTCCCAGCAGACACGCGGCAAGAACAGCACGGCTCAGAATCGCCCAGACCTCTCTCGGTCTCTCGACCGCCTCCTGTCGCGTTCCCGTCCCCCGCCGCCACCACCGCCGCCGCCGCGGCCACGGTCTCTAGACCGAGAGCGACGCTCCCGAGAGCGGGACCGCGACCTATGCCTGCAAGCAAGGACAGAAAAGGACACCGTGGCACCCACACCGCAGCACGCAACATACAGGACGGGGGGACTGACACGTCTGAACACTGCAGCTCATCGCGCCAATGAGGCCAACAAAGGAGAAAAGTGCTGCCGATGAAGCCACAAGCTGGAGCTGTAAGATGTGCCCTCGTCTCAGACGGTAAGTGTCAGGGATAAAAAGGGGCACCTGAAGACTGAAGAGCTACGCCATCTTCTCTATCATATCCTCCTGTGGCGCCAACTCAAACAGCTGGGGGAAACCCTAATCCAGAGTGAACGGGACATACACACCCCTCACTCCACATCTGACCCCAGTTTCAGGTCCCGTCCCAGCCAAGCCGCCGCCCTGACACGTACGCAGCTCAGCGACGGTGTCCGTCGGGCCTGCTGTGGGTGAGGGGAGGCCAGGGTTCTTTTTCTCCTACGCTTCTTTTTGTTGACAATGAAACAATCACCAGTAAGGTCTGCATTTCCAAATGTTTGTCTGACAGGAGAGGGATGAGAATCCCTCTGGGGTCAGAACTCAGTGATCTGAGTAGGAGAAGAGACTCGTCACACTGACACCTTGGCCTTTTCTCTGCTTGGTGACACGACCACCTGCACTTAAGCAACAGGACCAGACACGTAACGGTGCCCAACTGTCGGTGGTCCATAGGGTGGTGCCCCCGCCCCCAGCCAAAGAAACCTGCCCAAGCCAATAAAAACCAAGAAACCCCAATGGAAATAGGCAGCACATAAAGGAAGTCCAGATATCTGAGAACACCGTGTAAACAAACCTAATTTTAGTGGTCACCAGCTTAACGGTTCCCTCAGTTATTAAGGTTTGATCTTGACCTGACGAGGAAGCCGTGTGTGCGTGGAAAATGTCCTTCAAAGAGTACATGTTATATTTTAAAATATGCACTACATTCTAAGCAGTGCCTTTTAAAGAGAAATGACACGAAGGCCAAGCTTTACTTGAAAACAGTATTTTGGTTAAGAAACAGTCACGGTTCACTCGAGTACTCACTTCTTACGGCGGCGCCCGTACAACTCCCGCCGCAGCTCCCGAGAGATGGGCTTCAGGTGCATGAAGTTGCAGAAGCCTCCCCGTGTGCACTCCCTGCGGGAGAACAGACGGGGTCATGTGGTGCGTGCCCCCCCCACCCCGCCCAGGGCGCCCCTGGGGCCTGCACACACCTACCCCATCTCGTACTGGCGGCAGCAGGCTTCTCTGAAGTCGGTCACAGGGGAGAGCTCGGCGTGGATCGGCTGGCCATTAAACCAGCGGTTGTTCAGGTCAATCACGGCCTTTTCCGCATCTTCTTCACGGCGAAACTGAAAAGACAAGGCAAAAACGTTGCCACCCACACCTCAATGACAAACGTCTTCAACTACTGACTCAACTATGCGTCACCCGCTCACAGGTAAAGTAATTCAGATGGGATAAAGTAATTCGGGTGGGATAATGTCGGACAGCAATTTAAGAACCAGCCCACCCTTTATTTACAATGAGTTAATTTTGCTACGGTCCAAGCTCATGCCATATATGTTGCCATGGTTTTCAAATTCAACTGGTTAAAAGAACACGTCATGATTTAGGCAGGCAATGAAAGCTTTTTATTTAAAAAAAGGGGTGGGGGGGAGAAGAAACCAAACATATAAACCAGCTTCTTCTCCCCAGTCCAACAGCCGCTAACCAACAGCTGAAGACACCCGCCGACCGGGGCCCTCCCTGCGCCTTCCCGGCACCCGCAGGCCGGCCACCGGACCCAAGCCGCAGCCAACGAGGGCCGGTCAGCGCATCGAATTCATGGACAGGGCCGAGCACGTGGAACTTCGAGGCTAGCGGCTAAGGGCACTAACCCTTCCTCAGCCTCACCTGCCGTCTCACTCCTACCTTGACATACACGTTCCCAACAAGGTGGTCTCCGAGGTTGTCGCAGACGTTCATCTCCTCCACCTCCCCGTACTTCTCCTCCATTTCTGTGAAAACCTCCTGAAGGGAGGACAGTGGTTTGAGGATCACAACAGAAATAAAAGAGTAACTGAACATAACTCACGTTTAGGCATTTTTATTAATGGAGAAAAGTCCTAATTCCATATACAGAGGGTGAACAACAGGTCAGTGGGTTTCAGTCAACAGCTCACCTCAAAAAATTCATCATAGTGTTCCTGCATCTCGACATCGCTCACAGCACCTGTGAACAACAGAAATCTTGCTGGTTAGAGCAGGGAACCGTGACTGAGACAGCTCTGTGCTTAAACTCAAACTGCTACATAACACACATCAGATTATCTAGAGAGAAAACGAGAGCTGCGTTCTACTGGAGACTGAAGACACTGCATTACACAGCCACTTGTTAAAATTTTAAAGTGTGGTGAGATTTTTAAATGCCCCTTATGACAATCTCAATTCTGGCTATTAAAATGTTAAAATCACAACAAGTTTTAATCAGCATCAAAGGGCCAACATTTTCAGAAAGTGTGAGGAAAAGGTTGACTCTCAAATTAAGAAACTTTTAAGTGAAAATTTTCTTCCTTTTTAGATTTAAGATACAGGCCAAGTAATCACACTGATTTTTTTCCTTTCCTTTATTAGGTTAAAATGAAAGCTGAAATCAGGGTAAATGATTAAAAGCTTATGTTCCTGACTAGTTTCTTTTACCAATTAGCAGCCACACAAAATGTCATTAAAGTTCTTTCTGATGCGATTAAAACCCAAATGACCGAAAATAAAGACTCAGTAGGATAATTACCAAATTCAATTACAGTATTTTGAACGCCCTCTTTCACATAAAGGGAAAGTTACAATGCTTCGTTGAAGAAAGCATTATTTTCTATTTCAAACTATTTTCATCAAGTTTATTCTTCATAATTCACATGCACTAAGTGAAATCAAGTCAGTTCTGTGGATAGATTTTGCAAATTTACATTCTATCCTCATCATCCTCCTACCAAATCTTACCATCACTCTCTAACGTTCTCTGAACCTAAATCTGAGAAAGCACAAAGCTGGTGTGTCAGTAAACTGATGTTCCAAACAGCCAGACCGGGGAGTGGCTTCGAGGCTGGGACAGCCTGTCTTTAATTGTCACCTTCCACAAGCCACCTCCTGGACTGGCGGCCCCCTCTGGGCACCCGCCAAGGGCGCTGGGCTGTGGCCATGGGCTCTATCCACACTGCGCTGCCTGCGAGTCCCGAGCTCGCTGGAAAACTTTTTACCTCAAGGATAAGAACTAACTTCAGTTTTTGATCCTGACAATGATTTAAGTTCACTTTCTTGCCACTGGAGTTGGGCGGGGGGGTGTCCCTGCATTTTAGTTATTTTTGAATTTCTAGGAATCCAGCTTGCATCAGAACACAGAACTTACTGAATGCATTAGGCAACAATGGCTACTCGACAGCTCGTGTCGATTTAAAAGCTATCGTGAACGTACCTTCTTCCCTGACCAGAAATCAAGTTCTAAACAACAGAAAAGCTAGTCAAGTGAAACCCATTCCAAGGGCAGATTTTAATGTTTACAATTTCCTTCTCCACATTAGAAAAAATGAGAAGACAGAAAATATTTACACACTCAAAAAGTTTTAGCAATACTGAGAATCAAATTTTGGTGGCTGTTAAAATACTGGCTATATTCTTAGAATTCCTATTCTGTTACCATATAACAGAATATCGTATTTTAAAATTTATGTAAAGTTCATATTTTAAAATGCTTGATGGTGGGCATATCTCATCTCCTATACTCTGGTTAAAATTTCTGAGTCAATCAAAATGACCTAAAAGGCAGAGATGAGTGATTAAAAAACTGTTCAATTAAGAAAGTATTTACACGACTCAATATATTTTAAATAAGTACCCAGTTTTCTTACAGAAACGCTCTTAAACTGGGGTTCATTTTTGAGCTTAATCAGAGCAGAGATAGCTTATTTTTCTACAGATAAAAGGGTACGTTAAAAAGAGCCAGTAATTTTAGGAAACTGATGAACCTAGCTAAATTGTAGAATCAGAATTGTGTTTAATTTGTACAATCTGGACCCCAGAATTGTAGTCTTTAGTACAGCTAAACTTTTATTTTGTAGCATATGCAAAACAAGAGTCCTGTGAATCGCAAATACAGACACAGAGAACTAATCCAACATTCTTCTGTCAATAAAGCATACGCATCCCCGAAAAAACAAGCAGGGCAAAGAGTGATTAACTGTCATAACTCAGTCATCTACTTCTCATTCATTTCTACCCCAGGGTAGGGCTGTTACAAAATTATTTAATCAGTCCATAGAGAAACAGTTTCTTCCACCCATTGATCTTATTTCTTTAAATAACAGAAAACCAGGTATTTTAAATCAAGGGCTACCAAGTAAATCCTGCTACCATCAGATTCAGGGAAAGAAATTAATTCTCTATCAGGTCAGCATTAGCGTCGAAAAACATTTAGTGTCTCGGCAGGAAAAATGTACCAGTCCCTCCCCTGCAGACACAGGCACCGTGCACGCACACACACGGAACTGGAAGGCCTCCCAGTCTGGGGCCAGCTTGAGGAGGTGGTGGCTGCTGGGACCATTTCTCCCACTGTAGGTCACCCTATAAACTGAGGGGCTCCGGGCCAAGGGTGTGTTTGATCCAGGTTTGTGGCTATCCAAAGGTACCTCGTGGTATTATTCTGTGATCTAGTTTTTACAGCTTCAAAACAAACTGGTGAATGAGAAGCATCTACCCTTTGGTCTGGACCCCCTGATTTTAACACGAGTCCAGGATGTGCGTTTCAGCTTATCCTCAGATGACTAAATTCACTCCACGGTGAATTTCAACAGCTGTAAAACTTAACTTTCCAGAGATAGTAGTATTTCTCCTGTTCCCCAAAAGATACCCCTCAGTAAATACCACATCCATAACTCAAATTCAGCATCTCCCATTACCTGAAGGAACCAGTAACGTCTACTGAATGCCCAGTCTAGAGCTATTCCCTACCAAGGATCCTTTATTTCCCAAATGTAATAAACTAACTCCTGAAGTCGGAAATACCTACATAAAGTATCTGATGAAGACGGGAGTCCACACAGGACTGGTGTTGCACTTGGGGTCAGAGCAACTTGGAGGACCCTACTTGGGAAACATTCTCAGAACAGTGCTCTCACAGTTAAAAGCACGATCTCCAAAATGGAGTTTAAGGGGAAAAAAGTCTAGTAAGAAATAAAATCTGAAAAACAATTTCAGAACAATTTTTTTTAAGTCAGAGAAACTTTCCCTGTCAGCAGGAAGAGCGTGCACACACACCCCCCCGGATGACGGCCAAGGGGCCGGAAGGGAGAGCAGCAGCGCCATGCTCTTGTCAAGGGCACCCTCTCCAGTCACTTTTTCCTTCCTAAATAAGTGGGCACGAGTTCCAATCTCAAACAGAGCTTTCCATGGGGTCAGTGGGACACAAGCTCTCGACACCTCTAGTGAAAGGCGGTCCTTGACACTACAGCGGCAGACCAGATGGAGTTGACGCTGAGCTCTGACACGCAAGCCCAGGGAACCAGGGAAGGAACTTGTATGAACTTACAGCGCAAACCGTCAGCAGACTGGGAAGAGTTTTGAGGGTTACGGTAAATGTTCAAGAGGGCAATGGTCTGAAATACAAAACGCAACAACTTTACATCATGGAAAATTAAATGTAAACACTCAACCGGTCTCCTGTGGCGATCGCTTCAGTCAAGACCCAGCGCTGAAAAAAGAGCAAGTTATTTTCTTTCGAAGCACAGGTGTTCTCTCTTAGTTGGTGGCTGTCGTGGAGCGCCCTGACACTGCGATGCAACAGAGATCCCATGACATGTTCGTATTGTATTTCTGTCACAGACTGTAAAAATTCTCCCTTTCGAAGCTCCAATCCAGTTAAGAATGCAAACAACTCGGCAGGCTACTACCAAAATATTCCTGTTACAGGCAACTTTTAATGAACAAATGAGAAAGGGTGCCTGTATAAACTGATTAGAGAAATACAATAATTACGTATCATGAAATCTCTACTTCCTAGAGGAAAAAGTATAATGGTGAAATAAAACCCACACTTATTGGGCAACTTACCTTATTAAATCCTAAATATTCCTAAGGTTTTTGATTTCACAGAAAGAACTTAATAATTGCCAGGGGTTCAGTCACTGTGAAGACCAATGACTGGCTGGTGACGTCTGGGTGTCACAGGGCCGGACCCCTCTCGTTAACAAACGTCCACGGTGGGAAGAGGTCCGGCCAGTGACCTCCCGGCCAGCCTGCTGAACGCAGCCAAGTATCAAGTTCTTGCTGTGTGCGCCAAGGACCTCCGGCACCGTGTCCTGTTTGCAACAGCTCTATGTCAGCAGCTCAGAAGCCAACATTATTTGTCTCAATTAAGAGTGGGCTCTTTAACACCATTGTTTTAAAAAAATTTCTCCAACTGTGGGACTTACAGTGTGAGCCGTCAGCCGTCTGTGCACTGTTTTGGGGATTACGATAGATGTTTTGAATCAAGATGGTCTGCGGGGAAAAAAAAATAAAAAGGGGAATTCTACTGGCTGCTGTGCATATATTAGACAATTGCAAAGAGACAACTTGTTTGCAAATGGCTCAACGCCTGCTGTTTGTTTCCTGCAAGTCAGACACTTGTCTTCTGAAGAGTACACCCAAACCATCATATTATGAAAACAGAGTTTGAGCGGTGACTTAGGTCAAGTGACTTAGGTCAAGTCAGCCAGCAACCAAGAAGAAATTGTAATTGTTACTTTGAGTAGTCCCATGTCACTGAAGTGTTTTAAGACACGGTAAATAATAGAACGCTAACATTTCCTCATACTTCAAGCTAGCAGACACTATGATGTCGAAAAAGTCACATTATAATCATATTCCCCATATGAAAAAAATTTTTTTAAACCAAATGCATAAGCCAAGTATATGCAGTCCATCAAGCTCTCTTGATCTCGTAGGAAACAGGCGCACCCAATGGGCTTCCTAACTCTCATGGACACCTAGCGTATTTACATTTTCTTGGTGGGATCTCTGTTTACATAATACAATAGCTTAAAACATTTGCTCTTTTCCAATCCTTCTTTTAAGGGAAAAAATCCTTTTAGCCCTTGTGCTTTAAGCTGGATGAGGCAGACGTGAAACCTTACATTGTACCGTTCTTCTCAAACTCAAGTTGTCTGAAAAAACAAACCATGTTTAAGTTAGTAGGCTAGCATTACATGAATCTTAATGTCCACATCACTGTAAGAAGCTTAAAAAGAAACCCACACTGAATTATGCTAGATTTACAAGCTGAACCAATAAACCACATGATTTAAGAAAATAAATATTCAGTCTCAACGTGTATCCAGAGCAGTTTTGTAAGTGGTTTCACAGAACCGGCCGCCTCCGCTTCCAGCTGCGGGGTCAAGGGCAATGGTCGTGCGGGTCCCTCAGCCGCAGGTCTGCTCTGGGAAACCCACCTGGGAGCATGCCCGCCAGCCACACAGCACAGCTGTCACCACACAGACCCACCCCCAGGGCCTGGCCTCTCTGCAAGCCACTGATACCGCCCCAAGTCAACCACTTCAGGACTCCGACGTTCCCAAAGCCAACCGCACTTGGTTTTTAACTGGAATCACCAGTGTGTGGCAGCTCTGATGGAAAGCCATATGAGCCCAGTGATCCAACAGGAAATTCATTTTAGCTCTCACTCAGGTCATCTGGCAGTGGCTGTTTAATAATAAAAGAAACTTCACTTAAAGGGAGTAATTCAGTTCCATTAAAATCACAGGTGGTCAGGATTACCTAAAGCCAACCAAACGAATCAAAACAAGATGTTCAAGTGAACACATACACCTGACCCCACCAAACTCTAACGGAATCACGGCCACTGGCCTAGTGAGGGAGATTTCGTTCATAAACGGAAGCACTTAAAATAAAATTTCAACAAACAGAAAACGTAAAGCGAATTCTCCAATATTCTGAATTTCAAAAGAGACATGTTCAAAGCTATTAAATTAGAAAATACTGTCTCTTTCTTACAACAACTGACTGACTTTCCTAAACACTTACACACAGTGGTTCTGAGCCTTCACGGGCGGCTTGAAGGAGCTCAAGAGCCCTCAGTCTGCAAAGACTGAAGTATAGATTCTTTTCAAATCCAAACATTCAGGTAAACACGGACAGAAGTTTTCTGTTCCTCCCAGAGGTGCTTTCTCCCTTTAATTCACTGGATCTGTTGCAGGGTGTAAACCCTTGCCTTTTCTTCAATTAGCCAAAAATAAACTATCAAAAATCACCATTTTTGACCGATCTGAACTCACAACATAGCCAAGCCCAAGGTAACAGGCATCTCTCAATTAACTGAACAGACTGGCCACGAATAACTGAAAGTAAATGCCTGTCTTCTAATGTCAACTTTCATTGTTCATGTTTCTAATGACATGATACAACTTGCTGTGTCCTTGGCTGGGGTCTCAGAGGGGACACACCCAGGGGTATTGGAGAGCCCCTGCGTGCACAGTGTGACGGCTCTGCTGACAGTCACACCAGCGTCTCCTCTAAGGGGGCTCCATCCACCTCTACTGCCTGGAGAGCAACAAGCAGAAAGCCAGCTCTGCAGCTACCAGCGCCTGGAGCAGAGGCGAGGGCAGCGCAGGCCCGGCTGCCCCTCCCGGCCCACGCCTGTTAGAGGCAGGGAGAGTGGTCAGGCAGTGAAAACCAGTCACAACCCATAAGTTTTTCTAATGAAAAAAACAGGGAATGGTGCTCTCAGACCTTCCGCTAGGGGTGGTTCACCTGCCTCATTCTCATTTAAACAAACAAATTTATGAACACAAATGGAAAATAAAACTATAGAAAAAACCCCCCTGCTTATTAACACATGGAAATTAACTGCCTCTGTAAAGTACATTAAGTTTTGATCATTTACATGAAAACGGAAAAAAAAAAGGAAAAACAAACAAACCTGGCTAAAGGTCGGTTTATTGTGCAACCGAGAGCATCTGTCTCCATGACGACATGCTCCAATTTTGAAATAAAATGAACAGTTGACTCTGTAAGGGAAAATAAGAACTGATTATTTTGCTGGGAAGATAACAAATAGATGAAAACATGTCATCAACATGATAAATGCTATCAAACTACGTTTCTTTTACTTCACAAAAACACAGGCACATTGTTTTTACTGGTAATAGGTACCTTCCCATATTTTAGAACTACTCAGCTTCAATTTGCCCCTCTAAAAACATGGTACTCTTTCAATGAAGAACACTCTAATTCTAACCTGGTTCCTCTGCATTGGAATCCCCTCCACTTTCAACTACAGTTGACCCTTGAACAACACGGGCTCGAACTATGCAGGTCCACTTATATTCAGGTTTTTTAGTCATTAAATCCTATGGTACTGCACGACCCATGGTTGGATGAATCGTAGGATTCGGAACAGCAGACATGGGCTGACTAGAAGTTAAACTCAGACTGGATTATTGACTGTGCAGAGGGTCAGCACCCCAACCTCCACGTGGTTCAAAGGTCAACTGTACTTCTCTATCGTTTCCTCTTAAACTGTATGTTAAGTTAATCTAAAACTGTATTTAACTTAAAACCTATCTGTTCTTTAGTCTTCCACGATGAAATTCTCTCTTGAGGACATCAACACGGTGTAGCGAGGGGTCAAGATCCTGAGTCGGCTACTAGCTGCCTGGACTTGGGCCAGTAGCCAGCCCCTGTCCAGGTCTCAGGAGCCATCTGTAAACTGAGGAAAATGCCAACATGGCACTGTTCCGAGCACCAGAATCAGATGCACCATCTGTGTGCTCATTACACGTAGTCGTTATTATCTAAATAATCACAAAGTCCAGGTTCCCTCACCCAAGACACCAGACCAATAGGAAATTTCCAAAAAGAGGTCTGGTTTCCAAAAGAAATTTCCAAAAAGAGGTCCTCCTGGTTTCAATACACTGAAAACAAGCTATTGGGGAACTCCCCCCCGTCTGCAGGAACTACACGAGGCCACCTTCTGTCCCCATATCGCAAAGCCCTCCCTTAAAAAGCTCCAATACTTGGGCCATCCGGATAAAATCAAAACCAGCACTCCAGCCAGCGTGAGAGCAATGCAAGGTGGCTTGGCATAACCCATCCATGATGAATTATGCACTCTTACTGGGGGCCCCATTCAAACTTAGACTCGCAGAGGGGGGAAAGTTACCCTGTAGATTCAAGTATTCAGCAAGGGCCACCCAGAGTTAAGGTCAAAGGGTCTCAGTGAAATCTGATGGACCATTAAGGTCAACTAGCCATTGATTTACTATCAGATGGCAATGTAAGTGGAAACGTCTAAATGTACCAGGAGAGGAAAATGATGACCACGTGTATTTGCAAACTTACAGGTCTTGCTTCAGATTATTTCACTTGAGTATATAACATTACATCTTCAGGAAGTCACTTGAAAATAAAGCTTATTTTAAGAAGATCCCAGAATAGACAAAACCCATCTCAACAATTAATACCCAACTATTCCATATAACTAAAACAACCCTTGGTCCTGTACTTCCAGAGATGACTCTCTTTTCACGGTGCCCAGTTAATTACTGAATTTAGTCTATCAGTCAAAACTTTTCTAGTGTGCTCATTAAACTATTGAAATAAAATGATGTAAAACACGTGATTTACTATCACAGAGAAGATATCAGAAAGGCTAAGCTATGCTTAGATTTAGAAACTGTCCATAACCTCACATGTGTAATTAGCTAGATATTTTTAATTGGTACAGACCTACATTTTACTTCCAGCTTAAATTGAAAAAAAAAAAAAGAAAATTAAAAGGTTAGCGGGAATCATCATCTTCATTTTTTAGGAGTCGAGATGTTTCCTGGAAACTAAAACCCCGCAAGTCTCCCTGAAATGAGAAACCTAGATTAAATACTCGTTTCCTGAATTACAGCCATGATTTTTACAATACAGCACCAACAGACTGAAATGTGGTTATTTATAGAAGGAATATAAAAAACATTGAAATGAACCTCTGAAGTAAGAGTTTCATAGAGCAAAGAGCGAAGACACCACCTTATGCAGCTTTTTACCAGAACAATGGAAAAACACTGCATGGGACATAAGTCATGGCGCACACTAACATAAGCTCAAGAGTGAAATTAACACTGCACGCTCTTCAGCAAACTCCGAGAAGCCTCTTTTTCCAGCAGAGCTGGCCAATCCATTCAAGATCATGTTCCCCAAGCTGCCGCCTCTGGAGCCACGGCCTTCGGGGCACACACCTCTTCCATAGCACTTAATACATTTTAATGTGTTTTACTTTAGTTATCCTTTACACAATAAGTACCCCCTCACTCCTTGAGTTCCTTGAGAACAAGATCCAAGTTTTACCCATCTTTGAGTCCCCAGAGACTGGCCTTGAGTTGACACTCAATTAATGTTTCTGGAGTGAGTATGACTGATGCTTTTGTCTTGTGAGTTTTGCTAGGAAAAAATATAACCCCCTCTTCCAAACAACACAGGAAATTCTAGAATGTGTAAAAGAAGACATTTTACAAGACAGACTGCATCCTGGAAAACAGAAACAATTTAAAGTGTTTGATCAAGTGGTATTGAAACATTATCTATAGCACCCTTAGGAGTTTATCATTAAAAAACATATTCACGTAAGCCCTGTACAGCCCTAAAGAATCCCAAGATGTTAACCATTTATTCAAAGAATAGATTAAGCTTAATCTTTGGGTTTTCAAATAAGAATTATCCTCCAAAATGTCTGGAAACATTCCCTTTAGTCTAAATTTCAGTGAATAAACTGGAAATTAATACGTGGCAAAATCAAAATTATATGTTTTACTTTTAATCTAACAATTGGTTACGAAAGATATACAACCTAATAAAAGAAAAAACACCCATCTTACTATTATATTGGAATTACATCTTAAAGTATTTTAAAATCAGATTATGTCTTTTACGGTTAGTTAAACCCGTAATCTCCAAAATACTTTTTCACATCAAATGTCCTTATGATCAGCCCGATCACCGCTTAACTCACACAAGAGGCTCGTGAAGCGGATAAAACCCTAACAGTTAGGACCCTAAGTTATCTAACGATTTAACGCGGGCGAAGCTTGTACTACCGCTTGCCCGACTCGACATTAAAAGATGAAAGTTGGGAGAATCGTCAATGCTGACAACTTCAGCACAACTCGAGGCGGCTTCCGCGTGCCGGGGTCGCGGGGGCCAGGGTCGCCTGTAGGTGGGCCGCCGAGGAGCCCCCGGCGGGAGAGGCCGCGCCGCCTGAGCGGAAGCCCGCCACCCGCCCGGCCCATCGCCCGCCCGCCCGGGCGCACGAGGCGGCGGCGCGCGACTCCCGAGGCCGGAAGAGCCGCCCGCCCCTCCCCCCGCCGGCCCGCCGGGCCTCCCGCCGCCTCCCGGGCCCCGCCGCCGAGCCTCGCCGCACACCGCCCGCCCCCCTGGCCCGGGACCCCGGCGGCCGGCTCTCACTTACTTGTCTTTCTCGGTGCCGAAGATGGAGGCCAAATACTCCGCCATTTCCCACCCGCCGCCGCGGCCGCCGACACTGCTGCGGACGCCGACGACCCCTCCCGACGCCCGCGGGAGACGTCACCCGGACGCGACGACTCTCGGCCCACCCCGACGGCCTGGAGGCGCTGCCCAATCGGAAGAGACGCTGCCTGCGCGTGGGCGGGGCTTGGCGCGCGTGAGGCACCGCCCTCGCGGCCCAGGAGCCCGCGCGCCGCCCGCCTGAGTCCCCTCCCGGCGCCCCCTCCTGGCGATCCCTGCGCTCTCCGGCGGCGCTCCCTGCGCTCTCCGGCCACTCTCCCGCGCTCGTCGCGCCACTGCTGAGGCCCTAAGATCCCCGCCGGCGTCCCCCGGTGCCCAGAGAAGCCGAGCGCGCAAACGGCGGTCAAGGAGGAGGAGGCGGCGGACAGCTTCTCCACGTTGTACCTGGGGCTGGGCCCGGGGCGCGCCTGTCCCGCGCGGACGGGTTCCGCGGGTTCTCAGCGGGACAGGCGCCCTCTGCCCGCACTTTCCCTTTGGGACCCCCACCGTCTTTCGAACCCTTCCTCCGGGAAGATCCCTCCTCGAGCACCACTCGTAGGCGGGGAGCAAAATCTGGGTGCCCAGCCGCCCCCGGTCCGGGAGGTGCGCCGCCTGGGCCCGGTCCCGGGAAAGCCCGGCAGGTTCGGAGAGCCTCCGATGCCCAGAAGGCCGGCCGCACGTAAACCCTAAAGACCGCGGAAAAGCTGGAGCGCAGGGGCCGCCGCGGGAAGGGGGCCAGTCGGGAGCCGAGCAGAGGTTACAGACCTACGGGGACGCCAGGTCCTTCCCCCAGCGCTACCGACCTCTGGTTTTCTTAGTTTATTCCGGTTTTTGGAGGACCCTCCTTTCTATCCATGTTACCTCCTCCTTGCCTTTTTTCATGTAACCGTCCATCCTTGAGGAGGCTTCATAGGATACGTGGTCAAGGTCCTGACTGCTTTTGTAGCTGCGCAGAGCTCCACTGTGTGGTCAACCCGTCCCCTGTTGATGGGCCCATGGGTTGATCCAGTCTCGTCTCCATTAGCAGTCCTGCAACAAGTGGCCTCCTGCAGGCATCTTTTTGTATTGGGGGCAAATGCACACCTGGTGTGTGTGCCAACCAAGCTCTGCAGTCTTGGGTGTTCATAACTCAACAAGAGAATGCAACAGTTTTATCCTGGGGGGAGGCCTATACAAAAGTGAGGTATCCTCGCAGAAATGGTTAATATTTTGGCCGTCTCTAGGGTGTTAAAATTTGCTGTAGAACACATTTGAGAATGGGTTGCAGGTGAAGGGTAAAAATAGATAATCAGGTCCTTGTGTAGCTCTCACAGCAGATCTGAGGCCTCTTGGTTTCCTTTGGACACAGTCTGAGAACCACTTTTTTGGTGGGTGAGTGTCATAGCCGGGGCTATGATCCTATCTGTGCTCTTGGGGAGGGGGAAACTTCCCCTCCACCCCTCTTGGAGTCTTGTGGCTGGACTGATAGTACAGTTGGCACAAGACAGATTAACAGGTGAAACAGAAACTAATTCTAATTCATGTGCATGGAGGCCCCATAGAAATGGGACCTAAGAAGTGGCCAAAGCAGGAAACTTTTATACTTTTTAGACAAAGAAACAATACATTTGTGAGGACTCGACAGGACAAAGAAACTTAGGTTTGGGGTGCCAGTTAAAGAATGAGGTTTGTGCTTCTCAGCCCCCAGTTCCCCATCTTTGGGGATAAGGGTGTCCTGCCTCTAGATGCAGGGGATGCTCCTTTCACAGAAAAGATTTATGTCCTGCTTTCAGGGAGACAGAAAGGAGGGTCAGAGTGTCCCTTTGCATTGGCCGTTTCTTAAGTACTTTAATTCAAAATAATCAATATGCCATTAAGGCACATTTTGAGATGGCCTGTCCTGGGCCCCAACGGTCCTCACGTGGGGGAAGGGAGAGCGCTCTGGGATCCTTTTATAGGGGCATTAATTCCATATGTGAGAGCTCTTCCCTCATGGCCTGACTGTGATCCGAAGGCCCTCACCCCATTGGAGGTTAGAATTTAAATGTGTTGAGTTGTACACATTTGTAACACATGTGTTGTAAGTCTTTATATCTTTGGTTATGAACTTCTCTGGGCTCAGAGTTTCCATTTGTTAATGGGACCAGCAATGCTTGCCTTGGAGGGACCCCTTCGTAGGTGCTCACTCTAGGTAAGCAAAGTGTGCCAACCCAAAATATGTCTCTTTGGCATGAGGATTAATTTAGGCTGATCGTTATTAAGAAAAAAGACTCAGAAAGTGTTTCTTTTTACCCCCCCCCCCTTAGCTGCCTAAAGAATTTAGATAAAGGGCCTGTTCCTGGAATAGAGCCGTCGCCACAGATATCTACGAAGAACATGGCCCAATGTGGTGGGAAAACCTAGAGGTCAGAGTCCACTCTGTGTCCCACTGTCTCTGCAAGGCCCACGAACATTTGCTTACCACACATCTGCTTTTCCATCTCTGTGAATTGCCTTCCACCCCTTTGAACTCCCAAACCACTACCCTCAACGTGCTCTTTTGTCTTCAGCTGAAGATGGTGTTTAAGGTGAGGGCTTCAGCCATTTTGGTGAGATACTCATTTTTCTAGTGCCTCTCCCATGTATACATGTTATTAAACTTTTGTTTGATGTTCTCCTATTAATCTGTCTCAGGTCAATTTAGTTCTTAGAGCAGCTGGAAAACCCTAGAAGGGTAGAGGGTAAGGTCTTCCTCCCCGGAAGGAATAGCAGCTTTCACCACTGAACTGTGCTCTGCAGACAGCTCTCTCTTGTTGGACTGGGAGCTCTTTGAAGACGCTGGTTCTGTCTTTTCCTTGATTCCCCGGTAGAACAGACCTACAGTCCCTTATCTGCAATTCCAAAATGCAGAAAGCTCTGGACACTGAGAAATTTTTTTTCCCATAAGTTTGGTGCCAAGATTCACCTCGCTGCAAAGCTGACCTGACCTGACTGTAGCACTCCAGTGCTCCCAGGGGTGCAGGCGCCTCTATCCGTTGCTGATGTGTGTGTTTTAAATTTTAAAGTTTATTTTTCCTTTTGTGACTTCGTGTTCAGTCGTACTATTCATGCCTGAAAAAAGAGTTAAAGATACCCCACTGCTTGCTGGGGACACAGATAACACTGTCCTTGGTGATATCAGGAAGCCAGTGATGTTGGGACCCACCGTGACATAGGACTTTGGAAATCAAAGGGCGGGCAGTTGAAGTTCTGCAGGACTGGTGATGACCAAGACCCAGTGAGACGTGGAAACCACTGCATGGGGGGCCAGGGATGCTGACAGAAGTGGATGGTGGGGTTGGCAGTGAGGACGCCAGCGTATGCCAAACGGCATTTGCTGCTCACGAAACAGCTTGGATAGCACGGGAAGAACTGATTTGTAAAGGTGAGCATGAATATTCAGAAGCTTGGCTGTAGAGATTTAGGCAGTGATGTAAAACAATCTGAATGTCTGGTAGAAAAACTTCTCTTCAGGAACCATCTGAAAATCATAGTGGTGGATTTGCTAAGATTGCTTCGGGTTAAAACCTCAGTCTGCACTAGGCTTCAGAGCTGAGGAAACAGCTGGGTCCTGTAGTGCATTTCTAGAAAGGCATTAGAATGGTTGAGGAGGGTGCAGGCAGGGTTGCAGGATGAAAAGCACAGGCCGACTCAGGATGAAGCTGGCCGTGATTGGAAAAAGTCCCAGGTGGCGGGCGAATGCGTCCCTGTGTGTGCCCTCTTATGCAAACGAACGTGTACTGGTAACCCAAGAAGTGTTTTCTGCCTGGCTTGATGATCCCTTTCAATCAGCAGCATGAATTCACTGAGAGAACCCCAGACTGGGAGAAAACGGGTATTTTATTATTCCTGCACACGGTGCCTTCCTGAATGTTTTTCGAAAAGTAAGATTTCTGACATTCATTTTCCCCCGATTTGTGACAGGAGTTTTACACCCCATGAAGAGTGAATGTAAAAACTCTTTTTTTTTGCGGTACGCGGGCGTCTCACTGCTGTGGCCTCTCCCGTTGTGGAGCACAGGCTCCGGACGCGCAGGCTCAGCGGCCATGGCTCACGGGCCCAGCCGCTCCGCGGCACGTGGGATCTTCCCGGACCGGGGCACGAACCCGCGTCCCCTGCATCGGCAGGCGGACTCTCAACCACTGCGCCACCGGGAAAGCCCCGTAAAAACTTTTTTTTTGAGGTGCAGTGGGGGGTGGGTAAGTGAATGCTTCCTGCAGTTGACGTAAACCAGGGCTTAAGTCAGGGGAAAGGGACATGGAAGAGATGCTGGGCATGGGAATGGAGCAGGTCTCCTGCCTCCCTTGAGGGATGGAGCCGCCTGTGGACTGCGTTAAATACAGATGAGGACGAGGCGGGGCGCTGTGCATGCTGGGGAGGCTCCCGGGGACTGTGAGGTCATGACGTGTGACCTGCCCATCACTGGCTTCGAGGACATTTATCAGCAAGCAGGCAGTCACGGAGCCCAAGAGATGGCTTAGTTCTCAGCTGGTGACGCGCAGAGACGTGCCGAGAGGCACCATGTTTCTGGGGCTGCATCGTGGCTTGAGATGACAATTCTCCGATGCCCGCCTCCAGCCTGGTGACCGAGGCTGCACAGCGCTGCTGGGCCTCCTCGCGGGGTTGGGGCAGCCAGGCCTGGAGGTGACTCACTGCACAGGCACGTCTGGGCACTGAGCTTCGCTTGAACTGGCATAAGCTTGAAGCTTTAGAACATTTTCCTTGGCAGTAAGAAGTACTAGAGAATTTATTGTCTGTAGTTATCTCAGCATCTCACGAGCCACTTTATTGCTATATAAGTCAGCCGGAAGCAAGGTGTAATACTGTTTATGGGGTATTTATCCCACTTAGTGGGACAGATTTGGCTGCAGAAGTGTTAGTGTATTTCATGCTGGCGGTCCTGCCCCAGGCCCTGATGGAGGTTACATAATATATTGTATGTCCTTTTCTTCTTATTATTATTTTGGCCCTGAATGCTTTGAACTCCGAAGCCCAACTGGCCCCGGAAAACTCAGACCTGGAGCTCGGCAAAAGCATCCCCGGAAACATTTGTGAGCGAATGAAGCCTAGTGAGGGGGGATCACTGTGGGGTGT